TCTCTCTCTCTCTCTCTCTCTCTCTCTCTCTCTCTCTCTCCACGTCTTGATGTGGCAGGAGTTGCAGACACGCAGTACCACCACATCTTGAGTCCTGTCTCATCCGTCATAACAACAGGAGTGTCACTCCGGGATAGGTTTGCAAGGTCCTCGGCATGAAGCTCGCGATTGTGTCTGCGGGACTAACACTTTGAATTCAAAGTCCTGTACGCTGTTGCTGTTGTTGTCGACTGCACGTATGTCACTCCTTGTGTTCCCTGCTTTGTAATACTGTGTCGCCACATCTGCCACGCGTGTGTCGTGGTCGAGCTTGAAAATGTAGAAACTCTATACTGTGTCCCGGCTTCGGGCTGTATTTCCTATGTCATTCTTTATAGTGGCCATTTGCACTAGCTGATCCGACGTCTTACTTGACTTTTTTGTCTGTTCTATTTCTGTGCGGATCACGAGTTCGGTGAACGCTAGTTGCTGCAACGTCACGCCGAGCCTCCCGCCGTCTTTTATTATTTGGAACACTTTTGTTAGTGCCCTCTTGAAATGTTCCGCTCCCCATGGCTCGTCGCCCTTCCTTCTCCATGTTTTCTCTTTGTTCATCTGGCTACGTAGTTCGTTTCGCACGGTGTTATTGTGATCCGATTGTGCACCACCTACGAGGGGGACACCTCTCTCTCTCCAAAACCAGTGTCTCAAGTGCCAAGTCAACTCTCAACGGACCGTTGTCATCATTCGGTTGCACTCTATAAGCACACTCTGCAAACCGTTATCCACGTCCTCATTTGCAGCCACGCAGATGACACCCAACATTTCCTCTGATTCCATTTCCAAAGTCGTTTCTAGGTTGGTATCGTTACCTGCCACCCCTCTGTGACGACGGCGAACGCACTGCTTGTGAGCGCCGTCTCTTGCTATGACGTTCGATATATCTTAATGCAGGTCTTCGGTCGTGCATGCAATAGTCTCTCCCGCCATCTTCGTGGAGATATTTGACTTCTCCATCTATAACACGTGACATGACAGACATGTTGGAAAACATGTGACAGCCGACACGTTATTCGTGTGTGTGTGTGGGAGAGAGAGAGAGAGAGAGAGAGAGAGAGAGAGAGAGAGAGAGAGAGAGAGAGAGAGAGAGAGAGAGAGAGAGAGAGAGA